CAAGGAAGGAGCCCTGAAGTTCGCGGTGTTCCTGCAGACACTCACTTGTGCACAGGAAACAGGCAGGTCAGGCTACTGGCCACGTCAGCAGTGCTGGGATCCATGATCATCTCAGCAAGAATGACTACTTTGTCCACAAAATAAACGGTGTGTTTAGTTGTTAAGAGTAAATCCACCTCCAGAGCAACTCTTGATCACATTTAAAATGTTTCAGGTGAAGGAATGTTCACCCAAATTAAGGGAAACACGAGCTCTGTTGTCAATTATGATAACATTAAATTTTACCTCACTCTGTCTGAATTCAACGTGATTTATACATGTATGGTTTGTCTCAAATACTTGCGCATCCAAGAAATAAACATGAGGTAATGCAGAAATGAAAAAACAAGAGTCTCTGTCTGACATCTTGGAGGACCCTGAATGTGTGATGGGTATTTATGTGAAATATATACATCTATGGGATTAAAGACTATTCCCCAAATCTGCCGTTAATCCTTGAGCACAGCTGATTTCCTCACTAGCCCTTCAGCATCATTTCATTCCTGGACACAGAGTACCCCAGGCATAGGGAGGGGACCCCAGGTGAGGGCTGAGTTCTCTGAGGGCACAGTCAGCAGCGTCCTCAGGTGGAGTCCCAGAGACTGGGACCTCCCTTCACTACTTTCAGATTTTTATAGACTGGTCCATCCCGTATGCAAACATCCCCTTACGTCACAAGGTAAAAACAAAGTACCAGGTCACTTAAATTCGGGTTTCTCCTCATGCTTGAATAGATTTTCTGGGCTTCATGAATCCCATCTGCAAGAAGATGAATCCACTGTGGCTCTTCCTCTTTCTTATGTCAGCTCCCAGAGGTGAGTTTCTCAGGGATTCAGACGTGAACACATGGGGAATCTGCATCTGAGCCCATGAGTCACCGTGGTTCTCTGTGTCCACAGGTGCCCTGTCCCAGGTGCAGCTGCAGGTGTCAGGACCCAGCCTGGTGAAGCCCTCACAGACCCTCTCCCTCACCTGCACTTTCTCTGGATTCTCATTAACCAGCTATGCTGTAGCCTGGGTCCGACAGCCTCCAGGAAAGGGGCTGGAGTGGGTTGGGGGGATAAATACTGGTGGAAGCGCATATTATAACCCAACTCTTAAGTCCCAGCTCAGCATCACCAGGGACACCTCCAAGAGCCAAGTCTACTTATCGCTGAGCAGCCTGACAACTTGAAGACACAGCCGTGTATTACTGTGCGAGAGACACAGTGAGGGGACTTCACTGGGAGCCCAGACACAAACCTCCCTGCACGGAGGCCCGTTACCACCAGGGGTCGCACAGGGCCCACCAAGTACAGGGCTGAGGCCTGTGGCAGGTGCATATATGGGCTGGGAGGGAATTCTTGTTAGAACCTGTGCTTTCCTCTTCCATCCCAGGACCTCTACCAGAGACCCTGTTCTGTATCCTAACGTTTCATTGCTGTGGATTATGAAGTGTCTAGAAAATTTTGTGTGCATGTACATATTTGCTTAAATTTTATTTTTATTATAGTTGTGTGTATATATATATTCATATGCACACACACATATGATACTCAAGAATTAAGGTTGTTTATTATTTCTTTATTTACCTTTTTCTTAAAGGAGCTCAGAACAACCCTGCGGCTCACTATAATGTTAAATTTGAGCCTGAAGTTCGTGAAACTCGTAAATATCCTGACAATGCACATGAGATTTTTAAACAGTATTAATTGTGGTTTGGTTTTTGTACCTGTGAAAGGAAGAGACACACCGTCCTGCTTTCAGGCAACCTGTACAGGCATTCTGAATTCTGCAGCGGGCAGCGTTATAGACTCTAACGCCAGAGCGCTCCAATACTGCACATGCAATTATCCTCGTTATTCACAGATTCCAAATCTGCAAATTCACCTACTTCTAGCTTTTATGAGCACCGTAAAATAAATACTGTCATTTTGTGGTCATTCACGGACATTAAAAATGTGGCCGGTTGTTTGAATCAGGCAACACACATGCGCGCACTAACACACACACACACACATACATACACACACACACATTTTCCCAGCTGAGGTCAGTCAAGGTGATGCTCTCTTTTCTTGTTTCAACTCCCGTCCTGTAATTGAGCACTTTCTGGGGTCAAATTAGTGCCATGCTTTTCACATTTCCGTGATTCTTGGCGATTGTTTAAAGTAGTCCCAGGCGTAGGGCTGAGGAACAGTCTAGTGTCCCTACGCACAAGTGGCTGTGAGTGGACTTAGGGAAAATATACATGAGACATCAGCTTCATTCACACATGAGTTATATGGCCATGGGTGGTGAAAATGATACTCATGTCTCCAATATAAAGTTCATCCAAAACCTGAAGACAAAACTCGCTGCTGCATATGGGATGCAGCCTTGGAAACTTGCCTTAATTCCAAATACAGCCTGGCAAGCGGGGGCTTATGGTCAAGGAGATGCTGGGGTGGAGTGGACTGGAAATTATAAACAGAAGAAATACAAGCTAAGGGGATTCTGGTTACATAGACTGAAAAGGATTCTTGCTAAAGAGAGACCAGGGTGATCAGATACCGTGTGGGTGATAGGAGGTTTGATGGCTTCAAATACTGCGAGTGATCAGAGTTCAAGGGTAGGGGATTCTCATTATTCTCACTTAGCAGGGCTCTTGACAAAACCTGCTCATGCAGATATAAACACAGAAGCCCACAGGTCATGACTAGTTGAGAAGAGAATTACAGGGACCCTGTTGGCTAATGTGTGGTCAAGTGCCTATGTTACACTTAAGAAGAGAAATATTGAACACACAAAGAAATCAGGGATGCACACACACACGAGAGAGAGAGAGAGAGAGAGAGAGAGAGAGAGAGAGAGAAAAGACCATCTGAGGATTCAGTGAGAAGAGGTCCACATGCAACAAAGGACAAAGGCCTGAGAAGAACCCAAACTTGCTCACACCATGACCTTAGACTTCTATCCTCCAGGCCTGAGAGGAATCTATTTCTGTTGTTTAAGCTACACAAACTGTTTTTATGTAATGACCACATTAGCAGATTATACACAACTGATATAGAAGCAGATAGACACATATGGAAATGTAAGTATCATTTTGGAAAAGAAAAATCACCCATCCTCACGGGGCGACTAGATGATCATCCCCCAAAAGACATAAAAGTGCCCACTGTAACTTTCTTTAGAATTCATAATAGGGTGTGGAATGATTGCTGGATAAATTGTCAGAAATATTTCTTCATGAGACCTTTATTTGAAATTTAGGTCACTACCTACTCTTATTAGTTGTCCAGTTTTTAATTGTTTAATGACATAAGTGATTCTTCTGTTGAACTTCCAATCTACTTCCAGCATCAGATGGATTTCCAAGTTCTTTCAGCGTGAAAAATCTCCCCAGTCCTGTTTGATGCAATACCTTTCACTGGAATCGTATGAGTATTGTTTATATTTGGAATTTGATGTCCATATAACACTGGAGTCATTTTCTCCCCTAGAGGGCATTTGGAAATATCTGGACACAGGTTGGGCTGTAACATGTGGGCTGTGTTGTCAGTACCTAGTTACCTAGTGGGTAGAGTCCATCTGTGCTGACACACATCCTACAATGCACATGACATTATGAGCCACGTGCAAGTCCCCAGTAAAAGTGGAGAGAAGAACTCTTTTATCAAGGGAAAAAGGGACTTGAAAGGGCTATAGAGAACTGGGTCCATGGTTTTTTGGGAACACACTGAATCCAGGAAAGAGACATTCAGATATGAAAGCCCAGAACAGGTTCAGGTGTCTATGTGTCCTTCAAAGGCTGGTTCACAATGAAGAGCACGTCCTCTGGGGGCTGGTGCCTCAATGGGAGGACCTCTGTCTGCACAGGGTTTAGGGACACAGCAAGGGATGCTTGTCCTCAAGCAAGGGTGAGGATGTGGGCCCTCAGCCTCCCACTGAGCATGATTCATAGGTCATCAATCTGCTCCTTTATACGATGGTCCATGCACTGAGTACAAAATTTTAGCTTCATGCATTTGCAAATGAGTTGATGTGTCTTAGGTCAAATATGGACATTCCGAGCCCTGGAAGCATCGCCCAACATCCACACTACCTCTTCCACAGAAGCCTATAAATCATTTTTTTTCTCTTTCTACATGAAAATAAAGGAAATGCTTTAGAGGGATTAGCTGAAAGTCATGGTGATAAATATCGACCCATATTTAACAGTTAGACTCAGTAGCAAAAGGACTTCCAACTTGTATGCAAGCTATTTCAGCAACTGTCCTCTTATGTAAAACTACTGAAGAATTATTGATGGAATCTCCTCTGGACTATTTATGCCCCTCACTTGGTTGAGTCTCTTATAAACCCCTGCCACACTCAGCACTATTCTGTAAATCAATCAGCCTCCTGTGAAGTATTATCACTATCTACACCTCATATTACCCTAGTTTAGTGGAATAACCTTATCCCTGCAACTTTGTTTACAGCACCACAGGAAGAAAAAGACCACGAGTGCGTGTTATTAACAGATTAAATTCTTTCTCTTAGGAGTGACTTACAAGAAGCCCTCACTGACAATGCTGGTCTAATTTGGATTACAGAGGGATCCTAAGTAAAATATAAACGAGCACGTTACTGAGCTGTATATGCAGTAACTTCCATGGTGGACATAATTGAAAGCTCTTATTTACCAGAAATTAAGTCAGCACAACAAGCTGACTTGATTGCTTTCACTTGAGCTTGTCCACTAGCTAAAGACCAGATAGCAAATATTTATACCGACGGTCGTTTTGCCTTTGGAGTTGTGGTGAAAACTCTGAAATGTTATGGCAACAACAAGGCTTTTTAACCTCCTCAGGAGGGCCCGGTAAAAATGAAAAACATGTTGCAGAGTTATTAAATGCTGTACAATTGCCAAAACTGTTAGCAATTATTAAAACGCCGTGACATCCCCAATCTAAGGCTATGGAAGCTAAAGGAAATCAGCTTGCTGATGCTGCCCCCAACCAAGCAGCTCTAGATAATCCTCTGTCCAGTCTCGAGAATGTCCACTGCTCTCTGTTAACCCTGCTAACTCAATAAAGGATTTCTTTGCACACGGTCAAGAAATCACCACTGAAGAAGAATAACATACGGCAATAAATAAGAGGAATTGTTAACTCCATCACACCAAGAGCATTTGGACCTGATAAGAAACCTATAGCACCTGCTGGAGCCCCATTGCCATTGCTACAGCATGTGCATTCTTTAACTTACTGGGCACCTGAGGAAATGATTCTATAGGGATAAGAGTGCATTTGGAGGCTTTCTCCCACAGTGGTTCGTAATGTATATGCTTGCTGTAATGTATGTCCTAAATATAATCCTGGAAAGTCACTTCGTGGGTCACAAGGCCACTTTCCCCTTGCTAAGGGACCCTTTGAGGTATGCCAATTGGATTTTGTCCAAATGCCACCCTCTCAAGGAAATAAACATAGCTTGGTAATGATCTGCATGTTTTCACACTGGGTTGAAGC